TTTGTTAAGTATGGGTATAAGATCTGGTACCGAAAATCTCTCTTTGCAATTGCCATTCTTTTATTTCGTTTTTTCAGGTCTTTAGCAGATTCAATGACCACGTATGACGTCAGAGGTTATCGGGTCGGTACCTTCTGGGTTGTAAGCCCCCCTCCACCTGTAGTCTTGTAAGTGGCAACTGACGTTTCGGAGGAAAATCCGTTTCTACCCTGAAATTGAAGTAGTATGTTTCTCACAAACTTTGCTAACCACTGCATCACAACCCAGAAAACCACAATCGATTGCAATTATCGATTTGTGTTAGTAACGTCTGTTATTTATTACCATTGCAGAAAAACAAGCGAGTGACGGTCATGACATTTTTGAGAGTCTTTGATTGACTTCAAACAGACTCATCGTCTTCGCGTTTGTAATGCATTTGCTCAGTGACGTATTATGCTTTAAGTTTCCTGAAATGCACCAGATCTTAAATCTGTTAAATGGTATTTTGATCTTGGAAACAGAATTCAAAGAAGACGAGGTGAAAAACAAAATTTCACTTCGTAAATTCTTTTATACCAAAGGCCTCTTCTCTCATAGCCACTGGATTTAAGTGTTGTCCTGTGCCGTGTTTGTGTTTGAAAGCCTGGGGTTCATTTTTCAAACTGTTCATGTACTTGGTTACATTGACGCGAACAGATCTGGTTGCTAGGCAACGGACGCTTCCGCTGTAGCTGAGAACATTACTCACTCCAAAAGAAATAATGATGCAATTTGCGGTAAGATTTGACACCAGCAGCTGCTTGTGCAGTGAACTTATAATCTAGGGCAGATGAGAAGGGGGAAGCTTGCTTTTTTTTAAAGTAATATTGATTCCAGGTCGTCGAAGAGTTTTTTTTAGCACGGATTTAGTCGCCCGTGGCAGCGAAGCTTAGGATAATAGCCAGGTCGGAACAGAAAGAGTGATGATTTAGTGTCTAAAAGTTATTCTTGTTCTTGTTTCTTCCTTTTCACTGCACTTTCTTAGAGAGTTTCTGCCGTCTTTCGCTCCAGTATGTTCTCAGCATGAGCACATTATGTTTTACGCTTCTACCGAATGTACAGAATGGATTACACGAGGCCACAAATAATTGCATAAGTAATTTGTGGATTTGTCTTCGTCGGAGAGGAGTAATTTGTACTTTTGGACTCCACGAATTCCAAATAAAGGGAAGTCAAGCTTCGGGACTCCTCAAAGACGAAGCTGAGAAACCGACGCCAAGCGTCGCTTTTGCTCCGTGCGTTCTCTCATAAATTTACCGACGTCTTAGAGATGCTTACCGCCTCTATCATCTCCCTGATGATGGAGGCAGTAAGCATCTCCGAAAACTCCCGATTATCTTCTACGAGACTACAGGGTTCAGCATCCCGGAAGACAATCATTTCCACTCCCAATTCCTGTTTACTCTGTTCTGTTCTCTTATTTTCTTCCGACGACGCACTTTGCATTTGTCTCTCAGTCTTCAGATCGTGTCAAATTCTTATCTGTTTCTTATCAGTCGCTAGTTCCCTTTCCAATCTTTATCCACCATTCCTTCTGTGCCTCTGTTTCTTATCTGCACCTCTTTCTACACTACTTAAAGTGATGACGTGTTTTCCCGCCTCAAGACGTCGCTGGGTCCATTCATTCCATCCCAAAATGTTCGCTGGGTTCGTATAGCCAGAGACGTAAGTTGGTGTTTGAAGCGAAGATTTGCTGACTGATGGGTCGAGGCACAGGACGATCGCGTTCTGTGAAGAGCCCGTTAAAGTTGTATTAAGTTACACTTGAGATTCAGTTACGGTGAATTCATACCTCAGCTGGGTGATTTGCTTCAAGAGCTCAGCATCTCTGTTTGCGTCTCTCTAACCGGATTTTATAGAACGCCGTCTTATGGCGATTGGCCCATATATTTTTATGTCGGCCGCCTTCCCGTGTTTCTCCGTGAAACAGTCTGGAAACCCCACGCTCGTTTTATTGCGCGCGGCTTTGGGACAGACGAGGTATTTCGCCAGGTTTCGTTCCGAAGTTACGCGATTATTCTTGAAATATTTAAGAAAGTCTGAGTGACTTTTTTATTCCATAAACTTGAATTGATGTTCAATATAAGGATAAGGGATACATTGAATGATATATTTTCCTCCCCTCAATATGAGGGGTGCAAAAAAGATTGAGAAGTATTCGAAGTAGGTGGATGATATGTGGGGGTGGAAGTGGTCAGTGGCTGAGGCGAGGGTTGACGTGGTAATAAAATATGGTATATGGGAAATTGAAGTGAGAAACATTGATTTATCAGGTTAGTTAGCCTTCGCCAGCGAGGGACACCCCAGCCATAAACGTGTTCTTATGTCTGTCTTGCGGATGACGTAATGAACATTTGTCTGCTTTCAGTGCAACTCCTTGAAGAGAGGAAATCCATTCCGATTAACTGAAACGTTTGCTGAGATTTTGGCAGTTAACTAACTACCTAGAAACTGCGTTATTAATTACAGCGGAACAACAAAATACAATACTACCAACAAGACAAAAATTAATGTATTCTGTTCGTCACGATGACAGTGCGGTGAATCTGTCCCATTTTAATTGCTGTAATTAGTCATGACCGAACATATCTACTGGGTGGTTAGCGCTTATAAATCGTATTTCACATGTCTCGCGTTTAAATCTCGGTCCGATGGCCGGATGATATAACTGAGGTTTTACGTTGTTTTTCTCAGTTCCTGTAGGCAAACCCGGGGATAGTATTTTTGAGTAGGCCACGACCACTTTCTCCCGTATTCAATTATCTGAGATACTGAAAGCATCGTGACCTGATGTGTCATTACGCTAGACAATGTTAAGTGACTGGTGTACAGTCGTCAAAATAAAACAAGATTCGCACTCGCAGTTTATGCAAACAAAATATTTATTTCAGGTGATTTTTACACGTTTTCTGTAAAACTGGTAGGTTTTAGACGAACAGAAAGAGAGACTTCCTCTTACTTTTTTCTTAATATCAGATCTCCCCCCCCCACCCCCAGACTCCCCGTTGCAGCAGAAAAGACCCTCTTTTACGTACACCCTCTCTTGGGTAACATATTTCGCATACTTCAAACTACAGGAATTCTGTGTATATAGCCTGGTGTACGCCCAGTTACCGTGTGACCCGTCTCGTTTCAACGTCAAATTTCGTGAATCTTCCCAGCGCCAGGGATGAACGGACGTTTCTTCAGCTCCACAGCCTTTATGACGCGAACGTAGATGTTGTAATGTTTAACCGCCGTCTTCAACACAAGCCCGTGACAGTACGCATTGGTAAAATGGCTTACCACCACGATAAATGTCATTAAACTTTCTCTGACCAAGAACTGAAGGGCCTACCGTAACTCATTTGACAAACATCACTTCGATTATACCACGGAAAGGTGCAATATCGGATTTCGGATTCTCGGTCAGCCGACAAGGGGTGGTCCCCAGGGGCGTTAGGGATCTAACGACTGTTGTGAGCAGTGAACCCTTAGAAGTACGAAGATGATCCGAATAATATATAAGGATTTAGACCGTACCTCGAAGAAAACACATCTCTTCACCATTACGAGGATCAAATGGTTAACGCTGTTTAGGGAAATAATCGCTGTTTATTCTGAGGATCGTACGAAACCCATAATGAGAGTCTATTAACCCGTCTAAATAATATTTAAGAATTCAGTCCGTACCGCGAAGAAAACACTACACTTCACCATTTACAAAGATCAACTGGTTAACGCTGTTTAAGGAAATAATCGCTGTTTGCACTCAGAATCGTACAAAACACATAATAAATATAGTCTGTGGGAAAATTCGGAATTACTTAATGGTAAATATGGTGGTTAATGTAATAACCACTTTGCTTTAAAGAATTAAACACACAGAAATCCCAAATACGTCTTTTGTGCTCCAAATCATATTTGCGGTTTGAGTTACAATATTCATTTCCGAGGCCTCACAACACGTGTGTATGACGTCACATAGACATCAGAAAGGTTGCATACGTCACTTGATCATTTGTATGCAGAATACAACAATGTCGATAAGTTCCCAAGGGAGTGCTTTCTTTTCGATATTTCCCGCAAGATGGCAGCACCTTTTTATGTACGTGTTTCCCGCATAAGAACTAGAGAGACCACGTTACCTCACTCCCCTCCTTTTGAAAGGAAAAATAGTTCAATTTTAGATTGGACGGGGGAGAACATAAGGATTTTTGTATTTGGCGTATAGCGTCCGTCTGTAGCGTGTGCAGGCTTCGAGACTGGATTCTGCTCCATATTCTTGTTCAGTGGTTGCTGGCTTCACAGAAACGCATTCCTTTAAGTTCTAAAGACGAACAGAGGAATCTTCGGCTCTCGTAACCTTAAAAGTGCTCCTTCCCCAAATTAAATTTTGTCTCAAATTAGTTTTTATCCATATATATTTTTCGACACTTCCTGTGTATGTTAATTTGGGGGTTACTAAGGAAACGGTAATATTTTCAGATTACGGTGCTGACTTCTTATGATGTTGACACCAACACGAGCGTAAATACAACCAAACATTTCCAACACAACAAATAAAATTAACGAATAATTATAACAGACACAAATACGATATTTATAAAGGGCGATCAGTTTAAGGAGGATGGCGGGGTGATGAAACACAAATGCATGCAGAATTTCAGTGGGGAAACGCGAAGAAAGGTGTTTACTTGGAAGACCAGGGCGTGGATTGGGAAATTTTTGTTTACACTTATCTGATGGTGTAGTATGAGATGTGATCCGAGGTAATTGTTGGGTTTCAAGGTCATTGTTGCACTGATTTCACGTCATTGTTGTACAACAATGTCTTCCGGCAGTGACCTTGGGTCGAGATTACTCTGATGGGATCTGATGATAATTAATAAAGCTCTGCTTAAAGATCTCTTTCGTTATTAGTATCATCAGAGGTTTCTGAAATCTGTCCAGTTTTAAGCGAAACGATCATCTTCAGGAACGCCTAATTTTGGTTTCAGGTGCTTGTGCCAGTTGTTTTGGCCGTGCCTGTACCCGTGTGAAGAAGTGAGCTGTAAGCAAGGTAAGCCCGGTAGTCGGAAATCAGTTTCGCCTTAATCATGGGATTGATTCAACGTGTCATTTGGAAACCATTGTCAGGACCACAGTTTTCGTCTTCTGTTTGAACCTTAATTTTTGTATTTTTTGTTGTTGTTGTTGTTGTTTGCGATTGGCTACTTTTCCTCTCGTTCTGCCTAAGATGATAGTGTAGCAGTAAAGATTATAGGATAGATGCAGGACTTGGGAGTGTTGCAACGTGCAATTGTGTTGTGTAATGGTTACCTTTGATCATGGTTACCAAATCAAAAGTGTAATATAGCATGTCCTCTGGCATTGCATGACAGTAGTTTTTTTTTCCCTGTGTATCTTTCAGAATACTCTGTATTATTGATCAGCAATTTGCCTCATTCTGAAACAGGTAGATTCTTCACGAAGATGAATCTTCTCTGCTTACTTTTGTTTATATATTTCTTTGAATTTTTACGACGTAATTTTGTATTTATGAGAAAAAGGAACGTAGATACGACCCAGTCGGAAAATGTTAAAAATAGAATCTTGACTCTTTTCCTGGTAAGTGTGTTTCAAGTCCGTCTTTCCGGAAATGGGACGATATTATTTGTAAGTATTCGCGTAAACTAGTCTCAATTAATTGTTAAATTTAACAAGAATCCTAATACATTTTATAATTTTTTAATACACCCAGAAATAATATATTTGTGTAATATGGAGGTGCAAATATATCCGACGAACGTGGACAGACTCCAGCTCCTCGTTGCCAAGGAGACGCACAAGTGTCTAGATTCCTTTGATTAAAGTTATAAATTACACATCCGAACAGGACCTAGGATCGCTGGAATCCTGTATTTGCTGCTTCAGGATCCGCTCTGTATTTTCATTTTGGGCCCCCTGTTTCCCCTAGTACGTAGGCAGAAAACGCAGTCTGTATTATTCGCCGTGAATATTCTGCGAGGCTTTAACAGCACAAGTAGAAATGGTTTCAATTCTTATTGCCACTCTCTAAACAGGCATTCTGCGTCCGGTTAAAGGTAAGACAGTTCACTGGGTCTATCACGTTCAACAGCATAGTCGTCTTATACGAACATGTTTAAATACCAGTGGTAACTATACGTACCACATGCGTTATCCGTCACTAACTATATTTTGATCACCATGTGTATTTATGCGTTTCGTATGATTCTCAGAATAAACAGCGATTATTTCCTTAAACAGCGTTAAACAGTTGATCTTCGTAATGGTGAAGAGTTGTGTTTTCTTCGCGGTACGGACTGAATTCTTTAATATTAATCAGACGAACTATGATTCTCAGTGTAAACAGCGATTATTTCCTTAAACAGCGTTAACCAGTTGATCTTTGTAATGGTGAAGCGTTGTGTTTTCTTCGCGGTACGGACTGAATTCTTTAATATTAATCAGACGAACTATGATTCTCAGTGTAAACAGCGATTATTTCCTTAAACAGCGTTAACCAGTTGATCCTTGTAATGGTGAAGTGTGGTGTTTTCTTCGCGGTACGGACTGAATTCTTAAATAAAATTTAATAGACGTTCGGCTTCAAAGTGTTAAGTGCTATTATTAATTTCTGCAGCTTTTTAAGGTTTGGATGTTTGTCTGAGAATGTGTGTGTGTTACGAATTTGTGGTTTGTTTAACGACGCTGTCAGCAGCTCAGGTTGCACAGCGTCGAATTACGAGATTATTAATAAATAATGGATTGAAAAGAATGTAGAGGTTAGTGATCATGGCCTAATTGAAGGTGCTGCCCAGGAATTTGACTTTTGAAACTGAGGACAAGCAGGAAGAAGATGCGATCAGTACTGAATTTTTAGTAGATATGACGCTGCATGTTCCATTACTTGTCGCGAAGGCTGTAACGTGAGAATAAACTTGGAACCTTTGGTCTCGTATGTGTGATCATTATCATAATATACATGTATGTACTTGAAGATATAATTGTCTCAGGAAAATAATAATGTCCGCGCATTTGAATAACAGCGCTTCACTTCCCGTTGAACTGAAATAAAAAAAATTATGTCCCGTAACTAATGTCTTTCTTATTTCCTTTAGAGAAAACTTAAAAATTTGCATTTTGTTCCCAGATATAAGTGTCAGATCCATTGTCTTTCTTCATTCAAATGCAAAAACAAGTTTCATTGACGTGTTAGGTAGTTGGCGTCTTACAAGAACTGACTGTCTCACGTAATTTCTTCTTTCTCATTTGTTCATGTTTTGTTTCTTTGTTTCCACTTCGAACCATTTACTGAATCCTGCGTGCAAAAAGGGTCCCCTTAGTGTCACTTTCTATGTGATCACTTTTGATTTTTACGGCCTCCTTACCGAGTGAATTTTAGGTTAGGTTAGTCTAGTCTAGATTATGTTAGGTTAGGTTAGTTTGGGTTAGGGTAGGGTTGGGTTGGGTTAGGATAGATTAGGTTAGGTTAGGCTGGGTTAGGTTAGGTTAGGCTGGGTTAGGTTAGGTTAGGCTGGGTTAGGTTAGGTTAGGCTGGGTTAGGTTAGGTTAGGCTGGGTTAGGTTAGGTTAGGCTGGGTTAGGTTAGGTTAGGCTGGGTTAGGTTAGGTTAGGCTGGGTTAGGTTAGGTTAGGCTGGGTTAGGTTAGGTTAGGCTGGGTTAGGTTAGGTTAGGCTGGGTTAGGTTAGGTTAGGCTGGGTTAGGTTAGGTTAGGCTGGGTTAGGTTAGGTTAGGCTGGGTTGGGTTAGGTTAGGATAGATTAGGTTAGGTTAGGTTAGACTGGGTTTAGTTAGGATTCAGTTTCTCGTGGCGTGGGGTGGGGGGGTTCTCTAGGCAGTAACCGCCTCTGTAACGTCTGTAAGTTTATACGAGATTACGCGATGAAACATCGTAGAAGACAGTAATTTTCAAGTTACGATGGTAGTTTTGATGGTTCATTTTCATTGTTTTACTGCTGAAAGTGTTAAAATTTCAATGTGAACCAAGAATTGCTTGTGAAAGTTGAAAGCTGAATTCACCATTAGATTTGTTTGGAAATAGTATGGAGGAAAACGTTTGGACCCAAGACGGATGGAGAATATCGGATATTAACTTGACCTAAAAAGGAAGTTTTGTAGTTCTTACAGCTTTTTTGTTTTATGCAATGAACATTATTGCGTGCTGTACACACAGCTATGAAAAAAGAAACCACAAATGAGTGAAACATTTTTGGGTGTGGATTGTGTTTGCTAATGACCTTGTAAGCTTGGCGTTATTGCGCTGTCTGGACACGGATTCATACGCTATATGTTCAGTGTACTTGGTGGTTGCGAGTCCGAACCAGGAACTGAACTCCGGGCTTCCAGTGATTTGTCTGAACTACACACTCGTGCGCGTGATTGAACGTGTAGTGTCAGTATTAGCGGTAACCATTTTGTTCCCGTTCTGGAAACATTTGCTTTTAAATAACGCCTAAAGAGAGGTCCGTTAATGTCTGTCTAGTGACATTTATTGCAATCTGGCCCACTGTCTCTGCTACCTGCGTGTTTACGGACTGCAAGCGTTTACCAGACGAGCTGCTGATATCACAAGGCGAGCAAACTGATGGATCTTCAAATTACCGCTAGAGATTTCGTTTACTGGAACTGACGAAACCCCTGTTAAAAATAGTCGAAACAGCAACCTTCACAACACTTTTAATTCTTAACTGGTCGTATATAAAGTGGAGCAAGGCATCAGTCCGACGTCGGTTGCCAACCTGACTGAGCGATCCACTCCACGTGACCTCCTAACCTTTGGCATTTTCCTGCTGTAGGCATACCATGAGAATTTGTCACACAATATGGCGGAAATTTGAGTGACGTTCTTTCGTTCCCTCGCCACTGCTCTGCCTTTCTTCAACGTCATTTCCTTTTTTTCCATGTTTTTTTTCCTTCTTTCCTTCCTTGTAACACTACAATTTTTTTTATGCCAATCCCCAGGGAAGAGACGGCGTGGCTTGGTACAGAATATGCACGCTGTATATCGGATCGTGCCTTAATTCTCCTTTCACACCGACAAATCCCGCCGGTTACTTGCTGCACCACCCCTCGTTTGTATCAGTGGCGGTTTAATGTCTGAAAATTTACGAAATTTACAAACGGAAGTTCATTAAGATTCCTTTTTCCGATCTTAACCGTGAAAAAAAATCACAAAAATAGAAATTACGTTCACGATGAACTTACGGCAGATTAAATTTGAGGATTGCGTTCTACCATTCAGTTCACAATTTATCTTATCATCAGGTATCTGAAAATCACGTACTAATATTATTAAAAAATCTATACTTTGTTTTGTATGATTGTAAAACTTGGTTTCTCACCTTAAGACAAGAACACAGATGAAGTGCGTTTGAGAACAGGGCGCTGAGGAAAATATTCGGACCTAAAAGGGACAAAGTGATAGGTGACTGAAGAAAACTGTGTATTGAGGACTTTCTGTAATTTTTAATTTTCACCAAATGTTATTAGGGTCATTATACAAATGAATATCGGCTGAATTGGGCGTGAAGCTCAAAGGAAGACACGAGAAATGCACATACAGATCTTACCGGGAATCCCCAAAGAAGGATCCCCCTTGCCAGGTGTATAAACAAATGAGTTTAATGTTAAGATTGGTCTTCAAAGATTAAAGTTGATGGCAGTAGTGTGTTTACGTAAAGGGTTCACGGACGGACACTCACAAACAAGGTGTTCCTTCGCCATCTGAGCTACTATTAATTTTTACTCTGCTATGTGAAGTTCTTTATCCGTAAGATAAATGTACACGTATTTCCAAAATCAGGTGCAACGTTTAAAGTAGATTAATGGTGTTGTATGTATGTATGCTTTGAATTCTGGTTGTGAAATGTAATATTTGAATCAGTATCTTAAATGAATCATTCATATTCAGTCAAAATTAGTTTCCACCTGCACAAAATAGTTCCCTAGGGGTGCAAAAGTGTCAAGGGTAAACGAATAATTATATGCGAGGTCATTGTAAACCTTCGTGATCATTTTTTAACAATGGCGATGTTCAA